CCTAATAAAGCATGTTCCAGTAAGTGCCGGTATGGGGAGGGATGCGGTGGCTGACGAAACTAAACCACGCACAGCGCGTACAACACACGATCTTCTCCGTTCAAGGACACCAACCAGAGTAACAGAAAGTGTCCCATATCTTTCATCGAATGGCACTTATAACAATCAAACTAAGGGACTACTGCTGACTGAAGCTCAGTTAGAAGAACTGAGCTGTATTAGTAGGTAAAGTTCCGAGTTAGTACAAAGTGCGTTTGTTAGTTTGGTAAATAAAACCAGCGCTGATTCAGCTTGAGAAACTATTTAGTTATGGGGCTTGCTATCCCTTTGGAGGAGTAACGCAATAGTCGACACAGCATCTGCCTATAGATGGCACAGCCACTTCTACTATATTTTTAATTTCTCCGGTAATCATATCCGGCCGGCGTAAAAGCCGCCGAACATGTTAAAAATAGAGTTACCAGGCGATGCATTTTCTGTTTAACATTAATGGAATTTCACTTCGGTTGGCTTCGAAGTGATGGGCATCAGTTTTGAGTTCAGGTGTTACTGGATGGAATAGAAATTCAGCGGTAATATCTCAAAAAACAAGCCGGAATAAAATAAAGTTGTTTCTATGCGAATCGGGGTTTAAAAGTGCAATCGCACAACCCGCAGTCCGGAGCTCATACGCTTCAAGTAGTTCATCAATGATAATTATGGTGTGCAGGAAGAAACAGACTCCAGGTAGATGAGGCCTCCACGCTACTCTGTACTGCCAATGAATCTCTACAAATCAATGTAATTCCTTGTCAAGTCCGATTAAAATATTGGAAGCAGGGGGCACGTGTAGAAATAAAATTGTGAATCAAAGTCAAGCGGCAGTGTCGATGTGTCGTGTGCCACATAACGCGCACATATGCCTGGCCGATGATCTAGTTCGATTTTAACTTGAAGTTCACATATGGAAATCGGCTTGGCAGATGTGCTGACTCATGAATACTTCGCTTGGTCGGTTCGGGTAGTTGTGTTCACGTACGCATACACCACGAGTGGAGGGAGCGGAAGCGATGAAAATCGGAGTGGGTCAGAGTGAGTTGCTAGCAAAACAGCAAGGTACCGGTAAATGTGACGGACTGGAGCTTGGAAAACTACCCGCCAACTAAATGCTGCGAAACCCCTGAAAAGTATGAACTACGGGCAGGATAGTACTTGTCACTAGATATGCCATATTGGTAGTACGTCTATTCAATGGTCGATCAGGGAAGTAAGAAACGTTATTTAGACTGAATGTCCAAAATGCAGACAATTCAGGCGTTAAAGAAGGCTGCGATATGTCGATTATTGGTGTGGATCCAGCTGAGTAAATTGTAGAGCTAATTAACTCCCATGTCAAAATGCACGGAAGCGCGAAGGCAGTCAAATAAAGTCTAAATTTACAATGAATGAAAAAACGTCTTCTCGAAAAGCTTGGTCAGGAGTACTAAAAGGTTTTGGTTAGGGAATAGCTAGTGATGTAAAAACAAATGAGGAAAAGATGATACCCATGACAGGATTGACAAGACCACAAAAAACTAGCAAAAATCAATCAAGGGAGCAAGCAATGAATGTACGGGGCTTCTGTCAGGATTATTTACTTAGGTGGATGTGATACATACAAGGAGCCCAACAGTTTTCAGCGGGACAAACACCATCGATCAACTGTGTTGGCACTCAATGCCCAAAATTCGTCTATACGATAGCGTCTGGAAAAGTGACTTTATCTTTGGCCCACAACAAAAACCATCAGACTCGCTCCCCAGAGGCGTCTATGGTAATGCCGTCTTTTATGGAGGTTTGAAAATTAACACATTCGAATCCCAGGACTAGAATTTCATTATAATACACGCTTGATCTGTATTCAGAGCGCACATTTTAAGATAAGGCTAACAGTCTCTTTTAAAAATTTGAGGTAGGCATAAAGATTAACAACCAGAAGACATTAAGACTACAGGAAACATGGGGCTGTGTTAACGAGCGGACGAGAGACAAACTTACATGTTCCATAAAGGCCTTGTATGAGTCAGTAAGAGGTGGCAATTTTCGTTCCGTGAATCGGGCTGGTTCGCGATCCTTGACAACTTCCTAAAAAGTCGTCAACGTAAGTAATACTGACCGAAGTGTTTGTCAATCAACAAAACTATGAAAATCAGATGATCTGTTTTTAATAACGGGAAACATCGTGATCAACGATAAAGATAGTATGTAAATAGAAGATTAAAAATATAATGTGTAAAGATATGGTGGGCCAAATACTAAGAGACAGTTGGAGATAGTTCAGTTGTTGATACTATGGTAATTAAGTCAAAGTGAATACCTAAAACACCACACCATTCATTTGGACGTTAGAATTTCCTGTTACCGAAAAGGAACTAAGAGCGCCAGGGACAACCGCCTTTGAACATTTGTATCCTAAGAACAAGCTTACGATTTTCCGGGTCTTGTGAAAAACAATTAGAAAGCTTTATAACCAAGCTGTAGCGGACAAATCTGCTTCATGAAGCAGGTGTCAATTTCCTCCAAGAAAGCAAACTTAAAGTGGGGGGATTCCGTCGTCGACTAATGATCACTGAATACGAACTATTAAAAATAAATCTGTAAAAAGACTGGAAACATCGCCCCGAAGAAATACTACAAAGGGTTGCTTAGGGTAAAATATAACATAAAATTCAACAAGATACACTCACAGCAAAAAAGAAGCTGACATATAACGATATCTTACCTTG